ATACCTAGTATAAATATACATATTCGGACCAACCATAATTGGAAAATAATATTTTTAGCTATTTTTAATTGATTTAATGGTAATTGGGCCAATTTATACACTTTTAGCAAATAATTAACTAAATAACGAAAATAATTATGAAATAAATATTAGAGTAAACTAGGATAAATATATGACTAACTAGGACCTTATGGGCCATTTATAATTAATAAAAATAAGGTTTAGTATATTTAATTGTAATTAAACCGGTTAATAGATATATGAAATTAAAGGAATAATTATGGGAAATAATTATAAAATAGATATCTGGACAACCTAGGTCTAATATAGACCCAAAATATATTTATGGACGGTTAATAATTTATAAAGTCGATTTTTAGTCTATTTATTTAAATTAGGCCATATAAAACTAGTTAAGTAATTAAATAAGGAAATATTAGTATTAATGGTGAAATAAATAAATCACTGAGGTTGAAAAATAATATTCTGGACTAAAAATAATGTTTGAATAAAATAAGGAAAATAAATATTTTCGGTTATGTAAATAAAGTAATTAGATAATAATTAGAGAAAATTAATGGTGATTATTGAATAAAAAGTGGATGTTGTAGTCAATAATATTCGGATATTTTACTTAATATTAGAATTCAAATATTGTAATTAATGGCTGAATTAATAAGGTAATTTGATTAATAATAAGTGATTAACCAAAGTTTATGCGAATAATACAATAAAAGGGGAAAATCGGGTAAAGTAATTACAAATAGAATAAGTGACTAATTTATCATATTTAATTAAAAAGGTGATTATCTAGAGACCAGATTAGAGGAGGATAACTAGGAGCATCAGGACTTAAGGTAAGTTTCTCTGCCAATCCAAAATTTGTTTCCTCGTATTATATGCTTATTATGCATTATGTGATTAAGTGTGAATTGTGAATTTTGTGTATGTGATTTTGGGAAGATATTATATATGGTAAATCAAGTACTTTTGGGGTATTAAATATTTTTAAATACCTTTGAGATTTTTTTTAAAGGAATTAAGAAGTATTTTTGAAGTATTGTTAAGCAAAGATAAAATTTACATTTTCATAAGAAGATAGCATCTCGGGAGTAATCCGAGGTGTCGGTTTTTCCACATCCGGATAAATGTGGAGGGTGATTAGAGCTACTACTACTAAGAAGTACAGTTTGGATCTATGATCCCTTTTAAGTAAGATTTGGATCTATGATCCCTTTTAAGTGAGATTTGGATCTATGATCCCTTTTAAGAACAAGTTATAGTAGTAGTCCCTAATCATTCAAGAATTTTAGAATTGGGGTGGTTGGGTTCCGACCACTCGGGATGACTTACTACTCGGAGGGCTTGGAATCCCTTTCAGGGGGTGTGCACACTTAAGGTAGTCGTTTCGTTTCCAACAGAGCAGTTGTGGTACCGGCACTTGTTCGGGGTGGCCGTCCGTAACCACGGTCCACCGGGCTCTATCGAAAGGTTGAGCACCGCCCTTCTAAATTACTAGGAAGTTAGAGAAGAAGTGATTTTCTTAAGAAGTTTAAAGAGAAGAGATACTAAGAGATTTTCGAAGAGAAGTTTAAGATTTTAGTAAAGAAGTAATTTTGAGAAAAATCAATGAGAAAAGTATTTTGGAAGAGTGCGTCATTTTTATATGATATTATATAAAAATCTATTTTTAGTCAAACCTGATTATTTTACGGGGTTGGGTAGTACTTACTTAGCTCTAAAGCTAATTTTTGTTATTTTTCTTGTCTCTCTCTTCTCCCTTAAATTTTATCAGGTGATGAGTTGGATACCTATGTGGATTGACGGATTGCTCGAGCTTGAGTGCGAAATAGAAGATGCCTTAGTTAAATCTAGTCATAAATCAAACATTTACTTATTATTACATTAGTTTTTATTGTTTCACTTTGAGTTGCCTGTGCATTCGGTTAAGAGATGATCGAATGTGGCGGTAACACTCATTTCCCTTTTAGACTTCCGCTGTATTTCTTCAACTCTTTGATGAATGAATAAAGTATTTCTTTTAAATATATCAATGTTTTGGGCGGGAAATTTAGGGGTGTTACACTTAGCTTCTAGAGCCTTAGATTGTGAGAAATCGTCGTTTGATCCATAGAAAGCTAAGTATAGACCTGTTAGTGATGTCGTCCTCTGACTCGCAAATCATCTCTAGGTCGCCTGATGTCAACTCAGAGGTCGAGGAGTACTTCTCAGATTCTGATAGCTCAAAGTTGGACCCAAAGGTGCCTATGCGCCGGTTAGGGCACTTCGTTGTCAAAGTGGAGCAAATGAGTGAGTCTAACGGCGAAGATGAGGCAGAATCTTCGCGAGCTGCCGAGGTGCGGGATATGGTTGTTTGCGAAGCAGAGTTTTTGAAAGACGCCGAGATGGCGTACCAAGCAGGTCCCTCCACTTCAAAACAAGGTCGGCGGTATCTTTGTTTCTTCGTCATTGTACCCTTACCAACTGCATGTTGTGATGTACCATGTGTAGTCCGAGTGCTCTCTCAAACTGCTAGGTGAGTATAGGAAGAGAACTCACTAGCAGTACCTGTTACTCGAGATGCACCACAGGCTCTATTGTAAAGAATAATTGTAATTAGATTTTGATGATGCTATATTAATTAGGACTTTAGAGTACACCCTCTTTAGATTTAATGTATTGGAAATTTTCCTTGTAAAGTTTCTTAGAGTAGTTGACTAACAGAAAACCTCCTGACAGAAGACCTCCTGTCGGAAGCCCCTCTGATAGGCTTTGTCTAACAGAGGACCTTTGGCTCTCTGCTTCAGAATAGAAGACCTCTGGGTCTCTGTTAGCTTTTACACGGATAGAAACCCTCCTGGTTCTCTGTTGGACATTTCTTCAACAGAAACCCTCAAGACTCTCTGATAGCCTTTTCCAACAGAAGTGCTCAAAACCTTCTCTGATCGACTCTCTGCTGAAGACGCCAGAAGGCCTGACACTTAGAGAATTTTACCAAGCCGGTAAACCAACTGAAGACTCCTTCAACGGCTAGGAATCTTGAACAAAGAAGCTACAGTACGCGCATTAAATGCACATTTAATGCCTTCCATACTCTGTAGAGTAAATGCAGATGATTGGCAGCAATGTGAGGATAACTTTATCCCAAAATAGTAACCCGCCAACTTTGTTGGGGTCTACTGGTCAAGTCAACTACTCACACATTTAATGCAGTTGTCCTCCTCCTCCAACGGAAAGACAACCTCAGTATAAAAGATACATTACGAAGAACAACAAAAATATATAGCTTTGCTACAACAGTGCGAATACAATGACATTCAAACACTCAAACACACAAGCCTCCTTGAGATCAAATCCTTATCATCCTCTACAAGAGAAGGCAGACATTGGAAAGATTCTTATTTCCAACTCAAGCAAAGTTTCATTCGTTCTTCAACACTTCAAGCACTTCAACAAAAACATATTTTGTAACGAAGCAAGTTGGAGGAACCCCTGTTTCATTTAGAAACTCTTCTTTAACAAGAAGGACGTCCAAGTAACTGGAGCAGTGAAGTGGTGATATTTCCGGGAAGCTCAGCGAAAGGACCAGTCTTAAAGGAAGCCAGGAAGTGCATCATAGGAGACATCTAGACTTGAAGAAGACGTGGAGAGCTTCTTAAGTGCTAGGACTAAGGCGTTGTAAACGGACGCTCTTACAAGCTTAGTGAAACAGTGGATTAGAGGAACGAGTTGTTCCTTGAACCACTATAAAAATCCCTGGTGTCATTTACTTACTGCATTTATTTATCGTTCTTATTTGAACTGTTTAACTCCAAATACTTGGTCTCTGTGTTCAGCAGAACGTGTCTTGTGAGTTAACAGAAGGCCTACTGCCTTTGCTTCTCTGAGTCTAATCTGACAGCCCCTACCAGAACCCCATCCGCTGTCAGTCTGTTCTGCCAACAGAACAGGCTATTCTGTTAAATCTGGTACTTAGCTTGAAAAAGTTAAAAACCAATACAGTCTATTCACCCCTCCCCCCCTCTAGACTGTATCCAGTACAACCGGGACCAACATCTATCCATTCACGTGAGTATAGGAAGAGACCTCACTACCACTACCTATTACTCAAGATGCACCACAGTCTCTATCCATTCATGTGATCCAGTGGTGGGTATAGAGACAATGGCATGTGTATTACGATTACCTTTGGTGAGTATAGGAAGAGAACTCACTGGCAGTACCTGTTACTCGAGATGCAACACAGTCTCTATCCATTCATGTGATCCAGTGGTGGGTATAGAGACAATGGCATGTATATTACGATTACCTTTGGGTAGTGAATATATAGCAATGCTACCCTCAGATGACGATGAAGTTAGTCTCTTCTTGTCCTCATCATCGGTTGCTCTTTGCTTCTTTTTTAGCATTAGGACTTCTCCATGCTAGAGCTCCCTTTACACGACATGACCAGCTAAAGTATGTGGCTACCGGCTCATCGAGTTTTAGATCCATGCGTGGGAGATCCACCTTCAAAGTTTGTGAGCATGTCAGCGACTCCCCTTTTGACATCTTCATGAGCAAAAGCAAGGCTTTTACTTCTATGCCACTCAACTTCTTCATAATCTTCTCTATCAATCTAACTCGTAGTTGGTTCTCTTAGTGTCTCACACCAAGTGTTTCAAACTATATCCATGCTAGAGCTCCCTTTACACAACATGACCAACTAAAGTATGTAGCTACCGTTCTGGTGAGGTGGCACCGTGGCAGCTAAGATCAGTTTTCATACCAAGTAGAAATATGAGATTTAATAGTTTGGTAGTCTATTTGTACAAGTGCTTTGACTTATTGCATACTATTACGGGTAACTTCCTCTACAAACTATTAGTGGCTTCCTCTGTACACTTAATTAGCTAAAAGAACTATTTTAATACATACATAAAGTAAAAAAACACATACATCGAGGGTTGGCACAATACCGCATTACCGCATCCTCTAAAGAATTGCATTGGAACACCACATTTAAATATTTGCTCAATATATTGAATTTTTATACCAACAGCACTGCAGCATAGAAACAATTCAGGATAAAGCACCTTTGCTTCAATAGATCAAGTCATAGTCTTGTCTAGTTCTATAAATAACTAGGCTGACCAGCCTAAGCAAAGCAGAAATAAAATTACATTTTAAAAAATGTCAAGGCTTTGGATTATAATTAGATAACAAAGGTAGTGACATTCTATCGGTTGATGCAACTGTCTGGGAAAAGGATTTAGAGCAATCTTTGGGTTGTAAGTACTTTACATTTGATAAATCAACTCCACTAAATTAATAAAAAATGGCATCTTCTGATGGTCAAACAGACCGTTTTCTTCTCTGCTATCTAGGGGGTGTCCCTGCAGCCCCATCCTTGGTCAACACCGAAGATAGAACCTGTCTTGAAATGTAAGTCTCCATTTGTGTTGAGACCTGTGTCAGTTTTTTCAGATCAAAGTTGCTTCGATACCTTTGTTTTGGTGTTAATACAGAGGCACCACCACCAGATGCTGTTGGAGAATATGAGAATCTCCTCCTCGGGCTTGAAAACTGTAAAGGTGATCCTGCACTGGTTATGCTAAGCCTCTGAGGTCCATTGGAGATGATGGGCACACTACCACCATCTTTATCCTTTTTCATCAGGGGTCCTTTTTTTGTTTCTAGAGGCAGTGGCTTCAAATTCAATGCATTATCATTATTAGCCAATTCCTTTTGCTTCATCAGAAGCCTTTCCCTTGCCTTATCTGCAGCCTGTAGTGCTTTCTCTTTGCTCATTTTTATCAACTTCCACGGATCAATGCTTGCCCGGAAGCCTGGCTTTTTCATCAGTGAGGAGGATTCAGATTCCCTGCCTTCAATTCTTATGGACAATCTGTGTGGGCTCTGTGAAGCAAGTTATAAATACCCAAGCCAATAAGGTGAATGTTGCTACAGTTAATCAGCAAGTAGGGAAAGGGTGTCATATAGGTGGACTATTGAGACAGGCACTACACCTGGGTTTTTATTCTTCCTCCTGCGCATTTAAGTTGTGAGGCAAATGGCAGCTTCTCAGGCGAAACAAAATCAGTACTATCATCTGAAGAAGAGTCCGAGTCTTCCAGTGATTCCAGATCCAGATATTGGTTCTCCTCTTTCATTGCCATAATGTAATCATAGGTTTTCATCCCCTTTACAAAAGAAATTGCAACTTCTATCAGACATGGTAAATATTACTCCCTCCGTCCCACTAACAATGGGACAAGAGGGAGGGGCACACAAATCAATAAAAAGTGGTTTATGTGGTTGATATTGAATTGATAAAGTAAGAATAAATTAAGAATGATTTAGAGTCACACAAACTTTGCCAAATTTGGTATGGGACAATCTTAGTGGGACGGACCGATAAGGTAAAACGGGACAATCATAGCGGGACGGAGGTTGTACTATGTACCTAACAACTAGTTTCAAATGCTTCTGAATTTCATTTTACTGAGAATTAGAATCAAATGATATGTGTTTTGCTCATTTAAAAGAGATCCTGACTTAGCCCTCCCTGATCGTGCAACAGCAAAAAAAGTTATGCTAAATTTATACTTTTCCTGAACTTTTAGGCTTTTAGCAATTGCAGGCAAGTGACACAACCATAAGTTAGTCTGTCCTGTCCCTACAATGCTTGACTGTGCTGTATTTGTATCATCGTATGAATTGTTAATGCAGTATATTCATTTTGAGTTGTCAGGTTTACATACTCAAGCATCAATGTGTTTCTCATTTTCTCCTCATGCATTCAGAAATACACTAAAAAGTTCAGGTGTAAACTTAGTGAGAAGCAAACAGTAGATTTTTGGCAAATTGATGATGAAGATAAGTGATATCTGGGAAAAATTATTAATTTACATACACATGTTCTGATTTCAAAACCAGTGGTAACATTAATGAAAATGTAAGAACAGTTAGTACCTTTCGGATGAGAACCAAATGGAAGAAGAAAAGTTGTCCCAGTGCAGCTGCACCATATGTCGTCATAGAAAATAACAAAACCTGACATAAGCATTGATTACTGGACTGCTGAAATGGACATTCAAGCATATATGTGGAAAATAATATAGTAATAAAACTAGGGCAATCAGAAGACTTACAGATGCTGTTGCGGGAACTCCCCTCGAAAACTTTATGTAAAATCTCCTCTCAAACTCTTCTTCTATCCCTTTCCTATTTACAAAGCATCTGACAAATATAGCAACAGCACTCCCTCCTTCGATTATAAGCTGCAACACACAAGACATTCCCAAATGAATACCATAGCTTTGCAATAAATGCAGGAATACATATAGCTGTACAAAGGAAATAGGTTTAACCATTGTCAAGACAAAAACCATCAGCAATATGAATGTTGTGTAGTTCTTTCTCCCTACACAGTTGTTTAACCACTGCAATTAAACCAATACATAAGCTGCCCATAATTAGGCTCATCTTATAAGCAAAGAGGCACATTCACTGGGAAAGGAAACTTATTTTGTTACCCTGCAGTGATGATCGAACCCCTCAACACAACGATTGCAGGTTCTACAGTGCTTGCTGTGTTTCTTCACCTGCAAGTCATCCCCTCTCAGTATAGGAATTTTCATTTTTAAATGTGCCCAAAAGATGGTAATTATGTAGAAATTGGTGAGGAAGTGTCATCCAAACAAACCTCAAAATCACAGAGTATGCAAAAAGAAATGTCATCCTCCCTGATCTCTGGTGCAACTGAATCATCCATAATAAGGGGAAATGGGAACATAGGCTCCCTTAGAAGGCTACTTTCCCAAAGAGTGAGGTACTTTCTCCTTATAAAAGTCCTAAATATTTTGCGCTCTACCTTCATGAAAAGCCTCTTGACGATTTGAGTCAATAGGAACCCATAGTTCAACTTTGGAAATGAAGTTGATTTCCCCTTTATTTTCATTCTATATCGGGTCTTATCAGTAGGATCAAGAGCAGCACACCTCACGAACAGGACTGCAACAGAAAATGCCTGTAATACCATAAGAAATTGGTTTATATTCCTCATTCCCCAATTTTCATTACCCACAGCTTCCTCAAAAGAGATTACTATTCATTAGGCAGTGAAGGGGCTTAAAGCCCAACGGTCACCCCCTACCCCTTTCAAACAGGCCACCCAGGAATTAAGAAAGGGAAAGTTATCTATATGTGACTAAAACTTTTATGGATTCCAAATATACGACTAACAAACCTAAACGCCTCTATATGAGTAATAAGTCAGTTGAAGGGAGAAAAACTAGCATCAAAACATGTACCATACGTGCAAAGCACCATTACTTTATGAATAAAAACTGTTTAGTCATATTTTAGGAATCACCACCTCTTTTAGTCATATTCCTAATAATTTTCTCATTAGGAAATGAAGAACACAAATGACAGCATGTACTTTGTGCCTCTTGTTTGACCCTTTTTAGCGTGATGTTGTTGTGACGATTTTGCATTGGGTCATAGTGCATGACACTCGGGTCTGGGGTGCAATTTTTTTATAATTCACTATCCAGTGGAGAGTCTTAAATGTGTTAAATAAAATATTTTTATCTTTTTTTGTTTCTTATAATCAGCTTACCACAAAGGAGAAAATACTAGTGATGGTGATTTCAGCAACCCTGTTGCCGAGGAAAAGCCCAAGAAAGCAATAAAATGCTGCGACAAGGAAAATGAAGACGGACATGCCCACTATCTGCAGTGAGTTGCAAACAAAATCAGTTCAAAAAAGCACTAGGCTTTCAGCGGAAATTTTCAAACATGGACCAAAAGCTACTAGTTTTTGTTCTGTGCTTCTACTGCTTTCCACATGAAATTTCAAATACACTAAACAATTCTCAGAAGCAATTGACAGACGACTTACCTGTAAAGGGTGGAGAGGACGCTGCCATCCATGGCGTCTCATCATCTTGCTCACTGATTTCCAGCCAGCTGATTCAGTTCAGACAAAACAAAGAAAAGCAAAAAGCATTTGCTGGTGTGCTGAACGCGACTGCAGTTAATGGCCTGTGACTCAGCAAGGAAGCTCGCCCTAGAAGATCAGTAGAGACAAAGAAGATTGAGCTCAGTCATAACTAGTGGCTAGCTTACTACAGATTGCACCGGATAGCTGCAAAATCTGAAACACCGAATGGGGATTTCGTCCCGGATTTGGGCTCTACAGCGGGGAAACGGTCCGCTGCGTCTCCTTTTGTCCCTTCGTTTGAATTTTGAATCAGCGCGCTTCCTAGAACGAGTGTGTTGGTTAGTGTTTTAATAACCTGCCAGCAAAATAATGGTAAAAAAAAACATGCCAGCAATTTCATTACCCACAGCTCACCCTTATATGGCCCGGGAACCCCCGGCCCACAGACTCCTACTACTCCAGCGAAGGCCCAACAGGCCCAGAAGGCCCAACAGGCCCAAATCACAGCGCCAAGAGTACCAAGCAGCTCGCACTACGCGCCAGGGGTGCCTTCGGCCCCCCGGCCGAAGGCTCTAAATTCTCACAGAACGGGTTTCTCAAGCAAACTAAGAAACTGGGAGAAAACGGCGAAAACATCAGCCCTCGGCACTGTGAGCCCTCGGCACCAGGGTGCCATCGGGTGGAAGAGCCCTCGGCTACTGCTCTATGGCCGAAGGTATCTCACTCGACAAGATATCCGCCTCACATGTGTACAGATCACCGTACCCCGCACAGACGTCCCATCCAACAGCCGCATTAAATGCGGCCACATGCGGCTGCCAGCGCCAACCAGTTGAGGTGACCCCTCGGCCAATGAGCGCTTGACACGTGTCCCTGCCCGGCATTTATTGCTACTATAAATAGCACCTCATTTCCCCATTTGTAACCACGCTAAATACATATCGAATATACACTCTCTCTCTTACTTATTTGCTCTGACTTCTCTCTAGTTATTCTCCGCAATAACCCCTCGGATAAGCTACCCCTCGGGTACACTATCCATCATTTGGTGCTCTCGTTGAGAGGTTGAACAATCGAGTAAGAAACCCTCCCCCCCGACCAAACACAAAACACTAGCCCTCTATCAAAATGGTGAGGACAACGCGTGCCAACTCAAAGAACGTAGAAGACAAGAACCTGCCCCTCGGCGACGTCAACGCCCCCGAAGCCTCTCACAGGGCTCCCGAGGGCGGTGTCCTTGCTGGGCCGGAACAGGCGGCTGTCGACCTACGCCTTCAGATCCAACAAAACGCCCCCGATGCCCGCCTCGGCATCGAGGCCAAGAAGAAAAACCGGAGCGATGACCAAGTCAGCCCTCCGGTTCTCACCATCGACGTACAATCGGCGCTCTCCGCCTTCATCCAAACGCTCACCCAGAACCCGGGTGCCTTCGGCACCCTGGCTCCAGCTCACCCTCAGATCGGGGAAAATATCATACTTCCCCCTCTGCCACACCCCTTCGGAAATCCCACCCCTCGGGTGAGAAACGACGAAGGGGTGGTGGCCCAAGAAACATCCTCCCAGGAAGTTCAATCCCGGGACCGCCATAATGACAACAGGGAGAGGCCCCGTACTTCCGCCCTCAACCGGCTCGGAGGAGGGCCAGACCGCCGAGGGGTCCAAGACCGCCTCGGAGGAAAGACACTCCAAAGGCCCCAGGAAAGCAGAGGGTCTGTCTCGAGGGCAGACGAGGAGCGTCCTCCTCGGGACAAAGGCAAGGCACCCCTTCATGCCGACGATGCTCGCCACCAAATCAACCAGGCCCACTCGGCCCGGGTTCGTTCGCAGGGGGCGGAGACCCTCCCGAAGGACCCCCGGGATGACATTAATGCGGCCCTCCAACGCCGACTTGATGAAATGGAGGCCAACAAAGCTCACGCCACCACCTCCACCCCTCATTCAGACCACAAATACGAGGCCATGATGGCCAAAATGGAGGAATTGCAGAAGAAGGTGGCCGAGGGCTCCGGGGAACCCGTCATCCAACTCCGGACTCGGACGCCATTTACCCCAAGGGTATTGGCGGCCCGGATCCCGGAGAAATACCGAGGGCAACACATACAGCCCTACAGCGGGAAAACGGACCCCCAGGAGCACTACAGCAAATACCAGAACAGCATGATGATGGTGGGGGCATCAGACGAATATTTGTGTCGATGGTTCCTCTCCACCTTAGAGGGACCAGCATACGAATGGTTCAACAGGCTGCCCGAGGGCTGCATTGATTCGTGGCAAGAACTCGCCCAACGATTCTTGACGCAATTCGCCGGGAGGCGTCGCACAAGGAAGCACTTCTCCCACCTCCTAACAATACGTCAGAAGAAGGATGAGACCCTTCGGGATTTCCTGGAGCGCTGGAGGACGGAGGCCGACAAGGTCGACGGCGCTGATGACGGGACCCTCCTGGCCCTCCTACAAACCGTCCTCCGCACCGGCAACTTTTCAAGGAGCCTCATCATTGAACCCCCCCGCGACTACATAAGGGCCTTGCAGCGGGGGGACCGATATGCTGAGGCCGAGGAGGTGGAGAAGTATCACCAGCATCCGGACCAGCAGCCCCCGAGAGCTGACAACAAGCATAACCGAGGGCCGGGGGCTCCTCCAAATCACCCCAAGGCTTCGGGACCCTCTGATGACCGCCCTCGGCAAGGCCAAGCCAAGCCCGGGGGAGGTTATAGGAGCAACCCTAAGACTTGGGCCCAGCCCATTCTCCTGGACCGCCCTCGGACCACATTGACGCACCCCGTCAGCATCATCCTCGATTTTGCCGAGGAGAGGGGCCTCGTTGAGCGCGATTCTCGCGCACCCCCGGAGGTACACGCTATCAACCCTCAGTTCTCCTACTGTCGCTTCCATCGGCACCAGGGGCACAGGACCGATGACTGCCATTAGCTGAAGACGGCCATCGAGAGGTTAATACAAGCAGGGCACCTGTCCCAATTTGTCCAGAGCCCTCGGCAGGAGGGACCTTCTCATCAGGGGCCTCCCCGAGGGCATCACACGAAGGTGAACGCTTGGGTAAACCCGAATACCATCCCCCTCGGCAAGAAAAGGGAGATTGGAAACTTGGAAGAAGAGGAGGAGGAATACCCCCACTACCAGGAGAAAAAACGCCACATCCTCATGATCACCGGTGGCAATACAGGGGGCGATTCCACCAGCCAACGAAAGAAGTGGGCTCAATCGCTTTACGTGGGGGAAGTCACTCATATGCCCCCGGTAAAGCGACTGAGGGAGGAACCCATCACCTTTACCAACACGGATCTCCCTCCTACTTCTTCTCCTCACAGGGATGCCTTGGTGATTCGAACGGAGATCAACGACACCATCATTCACCGAACATACGTTGACACGGGCAGCTCCGTCAATGTAATGTACCTCAGCACCTTCAGAGAGCTGCATCTGGAGAGGGGGTCCCTTCGGCCCATTAAGACCCCTCTTGCCGGCTTCACCGGCGATACTATTGATTCTGAGGGGGTAATAACCCTCCCGGTGATCTTCGGCGACGGGCTCCATAGAGCCCAGCTCGAGGTGGAGTTCGTCGTTGTCAACATTGACTGCGCTCACAACATCATCCTCGGCCGGCCAGCCCTCGAGGACCTCGAAGCCATCATCTCCATGAGGCATCTCTGCCTCAAGTTTCCCGCCGAGGGGGGCATTGGCTACTCCCGGGGGAACCAAAAAATTGCCCGCGCCTGCTATCTTCAGGTCACTAAGAAGGTCAGCAAGACGGAATTCCGTGTTGACACCATCACCGGAGCCGTCGACCAAGAGGAAAGAAGGCCGAGGGCTGAACCGGCCGAGGACGTAGAAGACTTTGCGCTCGATCCGGCCCAGCCGGAGAGAGTCGTGAAGATTGGAGCCCAGCTCCCTGAAGATTTGAAGACCGGTATCACCGACGCCCTCCGCACCTACTCCGCTGTCTTTGCATGGGGGCCGGAGGACATGCCGGGAATCAGCCGAAGGGTCATCACCCACCGCCTCTCGGTGGACCCTTCGGCAAAAGCAGTACAACAACGAAGGAGACCCCTCTCCGCCGAGAGGAGGGAATTCGTGAAGAAGGAGGTCGCCATGCTCCTCTCAATCAAGCACATCAAGGAGGTGAAATACCCCTCATGGCTAGCAAATGTAGTCCTCGCACAGAAGCCCCCTACCTTCCGCATGTGCGTGGACTACACCGATCTCAACAAAGCATGCCCCATGGATCCATTCCCTCTACCAAACATTGATCAATTGGTGGATGAGACCGCGGGGTGTGAAATCATGTCCTTCCTCGATGCCTTCCGAGGGTACCATCAAATATTCATGCACGAGGAGGACGCCGAAAAAACTGCCTTCATGACTCCCGAGGGCATCTTCTGCTACCTAGTAATGGCCTTCGGCCTAAAGAACTCAGGGGCCACTTACACCCGGATGGTGGCCCGGGTCTTTCAAGCCGTCCTAGGGCGCACCATGGAGGCCTATGTCGACGACATGATCGTCAAGAGAAAGCAATCTTCCAGCCATGCAGACGACCTCCGAGAAATCTTCGCCATCATGCAAAAATTCAACCTTCGGCTAAACCCGAAGAAGTGCACCTTCGGCGTCCAAGGGGGCAAATTCTTAGGCTACATGGTGAGCCGAAGGGGTATTGAGGCCAACCCCGAGAAGATCCAGGCCATCATCAATATGGAGCCCCCACGCAATGTAAAGGAAGTTCAACGGTTGACGGGCCGCCTGGCAGCCCTCAACCGTTTTCTATCTAAATCGGCGGAGAAGTCTCTACCCTTCTTCCAGATCATGAGGAAGACGGCTGGCTTTCTATGGACTCCAGAATGCCAGGGGGCTTTCGACGAGCTCAAACGATATCTATCTTCACCCCCTGTGCTCTCCAAACCCAAGGTAGGGGAGACTCTCTACCTCTACCTTGGGGTCAGCCCGGCGGCCATCAGCTCTGTGCTTATCCGGGAGGAAGATGGCATCCAGCATGCCATCTTCTACGTTAGCAAGACCCTAAGGGAGGCCGAGCTCAGGTACTCCCCTGTGGAAAAAACGGTGTTAGCCATCGTTTGGACTGTCAAGAAGTTGGGCCACTACTTTCAGGCTCACCCGGTTCAGGTCCTCACCCATCAACCCCTCGGCGCCCTCATGAGGAGCCCCACCAGCTCCTCCCGCATGGTGAAATGGGCTATCTTCTTGAGCCAATACAACATTGACATCCGTCCAAGGCCTTCCATCAAGGGCCAAGCCCTGGCGGACTTTGTGACGGAATGTACCGCAAGGGCAGCCACGGACGGGGAGCCCTCGGCTACCTCGGACG